TTATTTTTTGTCTAACATTTGTAGATGATTTATTATTTTTTGATTTAATTACCCCTTCCTGGAAATTTAAGTCATACACAGATGCACAACCTAATAAAGAAAAGAATTATTGGATGATCAAAACATTAACGCCTTGATGGATACTTTAATTTCTAATTTCCTTTTTGTCAAAGAACTTCAGATATAGATGTCTTTAATTTAGGAGACTATTACTTCGATTTTATAATAGTTATTTAAATTCTAAAAAAAAATTCAACTTAGAATCTGATGTGACTTTTAAAATTAATAAAGATTGTTGCCTATAAATAATATTTCTATATAAAAATAATTATCACATCATACTACAATCATCCTTTTTTGAATTGTCTCCAAACTTTGTTATTTAAACATTAATTGAATAATCTTCTTATATATTTAACTCCGGCAAGAAGTCCATATCACTTAGTTGATTACCTTTATAAATAACACCAACTTCAAAATTTTCTAATTCCTCTACCGAATATTTAATTTATTGCTAGTTAACTAAAGTAGAATTATACTTTTAAATCTCTAACTCTTGGTTGAGATTATTAAACATCCACAAGGAAAGTTCTTCCACTTAATGCTTCAAATGAATAATCACAAGTAATATTAAATAAAACCATAAATAATAATAAAATAGGATCTTTTTTTTGGGAATAAATAGAAAATTATTTATATTAATTCTAATTAGATATTTAAACTTATATAATTTATACAAATTTATTGAGAAATAATTTTTTTAAACTTTTTGATTCATAAATACAATTATCAACATACTTTTGTTGTTGAATGTTAAAAGGAGAACGAGAAAGTAGTTGTAGATGTAAATAAGTAGTTAATATAATTTTAGATTTATTTGAATCAGATAAAAATAAAATTATGTTATTTTATATTTAATTTTCATGAATTATAGATTTGAAATATTATTTAAATTATTTGATTGCACTTGGATTAATTTTGTTGATTCATTGGTAGATTAATAAAATAATCAAATGATAGAGTACCAAATATTCTAATAAATTATAATTCAAAAGACACTTAATTCCCAATTTAGTAATTTATTGACAGGATCTAGAGATCAATTTCCGACATATTTTCAAAAATTTTGTCTTTAGATAAGCCTAAATATAAATTTGGAAATAACAAATTTGATTCGAGATTAATGAATTTTAAATCTCGTTGTGAGGTGTATAAGGAATTTTTAAATCTTGATAACCATCTCTTCCTTTGGTATATTAATATTTTGAAAGAAATAATATGGAGCCTGTTGCGTTTTCCTTTATTGCAAATATTAAGCTCAATATTTTCCTATCAAAATCTTTTAACATTTTTACATCTCAAATAAATCCTTTCATTTAAATTATGCAATTCATTTTCCTTTGTTTTAAGTAATTAATTTATATTATTAGTAACTCTTATATTAATAATCGAAAGTCTATATTATGGATATAAGGCAACAATAAGACCAATTTTTGTAAGATTTGGACTTGATTGTAATTTAAAAGATAAATTGGATTGATATATAATTATTACATACCTACTTAATACTCTACCGAAACTTTGACATCAAACATTATTTTCAATTCGATTATCTTTTTAAAAATTCAAATTTTCTTATTGTTTTATTGATAATCTATATTTGCAAAAGGATTAATTAAGATACCTGATTTACTCATTTATATCTCTAAAGTGAAAGGAGCAACAAAATAAGGTTATTTTTATTTTTCTTTATTTTAATTATGTACGTCTAAGTTATCCTGGAATGATTTGAAGTATTTCTACAACTGTATTGCGCTTAATCTTAATAAAGCCATAATTAATCAAAGATTTTACATTTTTCTTCATTTAATAATTTTAGATGTTCTTTATAAATAGAACTTATACAACATTAAAGCTATGATATTTGTATCTAGTGAGCTTCAAATTAGTCAAGATGACTAAACACTTGATATACTAAAAATTTTATTTGGTTTATAATTGCGATAGTAGTGCAAATATTTGAACTTTGATATTTTTGGGGTAGATTATTATACGTTTTAGAATGCTCTATAGTTATACTTATTTTTGACTTAAAAAAAAATAGGAGTACGAAAGACAACTAATTTTTGATTCAAATATAATTACGATGAAGTTTAAATAACTTTAAATTCAAAATATTAAAATAATTTAATTCTTTATTAAAATTATATATTCATGTCTATCTTTCACTTTATAATTAATGTACTTCAATTGCTGTTTCATCTTTGCGCTTGACAATGTTATCAAGCACTTTTTTCTTTGATGGTTCATGAGTGCATACACCTTTACCACAAAAGAAAATTTCCCAAAACCCATAAAAAACTGTCAGTCCATATCCAACCATGACTAAAAGACTTAATATCCAATGAATGAAATCTTTCCAAATCGGGATTTTTTCAATTACAATGTCATTTAAAAGATATTTTACTGCCAGTTTATTCATGAATATCATAAAAAAAAGGCAAATATAAACCATAATAAGTGGTATACAGAAATATTGCTAAAGAATAGGATCACTTTCCATTGCAAAGAGTCTAATTGTTGTTGTGATTAATAGCAAGCTTTAAACACAAATAAAAGATGCGTAATAATTTAGATAATTGCAAGCCCATAGAAAAGCTGAGCAAAACTAGATTCTTGGAGCCTTTATAATAAAGTAATGGAAAACTTCAGCTGATCCTACACTCCACCTCTTATTTTATCTGACCCATTCAACAAATTCTTACCACATATTTGAACCTGATGTAGGACCTGAAATAGTAGGACAATAAATAGGCTTAATTTTAAGAGATCTTTTACTCAGTGTCTTCCATCTTATATAACAAATTATGTCCTCCATTTGGTATGTTGGATGACAAAAGTCTCCTTCAATGTATAATTACAAGGAAGCAGTATACACACTCATGATGTTTATATTAAAGGGGATTAGTGCTCCCATCATTAGCATATTTCTAGCTAACCCTGTAATTCTAGTAAAAACACTAAGTTTATCAAGTCCCCAGTTATAAAATAGAACTGGCTACCAAACAAAATTATTTCTTTCTTTCTCTTTGAGAATGTTCATCATCTGGATATCAAGAAAATTTTTGTGAAATATGGTATCAACATCAAAGTTAGTTACAAAGTATTTGTTTGGATCAAAGTTTGGTTCGCTTTATCTTAAATGAGCATAGACTGATCTAATTCCATAATTGTTATTAGAACACTTGCCTGGGATTTCTCCAGGGGTTCCATAGGGATGTACCGTTATTATGAGTTAGCCAAAAAAAACTTGTAAATTATTCAAATACAGCATTTATTTTTGATTCCTTATCTGGAGTTTTTTCTTCCATACATACTACCATAACTATTTCCTTGGCAATTCTTTGTTGAGAAACATTTTGAAGGGTTTTCAAAAGTAATTCTAGAGGTTCTTTGTAAAGGAATGTTATCAAAATAAACTTAATAGGAGAAGGATTTGGAGGTTGTTCTTAGCCAATAGATACCTTCTTGATTGTGCTGTGTATTTTAGTTAAAGTGCTGGCAGCCAAGAATGTAAATAATAGCCATAATGAAGCATAAAAACAGTTAACTCCCAAAGTGGCTTCTAAGGGAATATAAAAAGGAAAGGCTGCCATAGCTATCATTATGGCATTGATAACCAAGTTCCATCTAAATCTTCCTCCACAAGTCTTATCTTCTTTTAATGTCATTTTAGTGGCGATAGGATTTTCGGGTAACTCAGAAGAGATTATCAGTCGTTTACCTTGGTTAAGATCACTCATTAAATGTACTTTAAAGTAAAATATTATTTCTAATCTTATTTGAAAATCTGTTAAATAGAAAGGATAATACTATAATTGTGATTTAATAGCTCATCATTATTACATTCAATTTTTTAGTTTTTAATTATTTTCGGTAGAAGAAAATTTAGTATTGTCCATTTTTTAAGTAAACTTTTAGTAGTATGAGGACAATTTAAATGCTATCGGATAAGAAAATCAAAGATAAGCCTTTACCTATTCTAAAATTGAACCTTATAACCAGAGAATATAAATTTATAAAATAATTCTTCATTTATATTCACTTATTTATAAATTTGATTAATACAAATTAAAGAGCATAACGGATTAAATCACAATTGTTTAATGGTTTTTAGAATACTAAGTGTTTCATCATAAAATTATAAAGGAAATTTAAAAAATCTTAAAAAAAATAATTTATGGACAAGAAATAATATTTGAAAAATATGTTGGTATTATTATAAAAATATTATTCTAAAATAAAAGTTAGGAAAGTAAAAAAATTTGTTTTCCGTTATTTTTCTGCTCTAAAATCACAACCCATTTTGTAAGAGTGTAAACTCATAAATTATAAATACTACTCTATCTCAAGAATCTATTGAAATAAAATATTTGAAATAATTGAAAGCCATTGGACTTCCTTCATTATCTTCTTAATCTATATGTTTTGATCTTTTAAGAAATTTAACAATTAAACTATCCTATGATAAAACATCTGTAGTGTCACTTTTATAATAATTCATCTTTTTTCTGTTCATAAGAATGCATGGAGATTCTAATTTATAGTTTAATAGTAAACAAAACCTACTAATTTTCAGTATTTCCTATTTTCTTTAGGTTTTAGTTTAATTTTATTGGTTAATTACCATAACTATTTAGAAAGAATTAGTAAATTATTTATTTTCAATACAACATCATGTGTAATAATTGTAATTTATAAATTTATCATACTAGTACGATATTGATGGTTAGGCATATACTCTACACCACATGAACCCTGGATTGAATTAATCTTATACTCAGATGTTGATTAGCTTATTCCAGCACAAAATTAGAATTTATCTAGTATCAGAGGTGATTAACAAGTTAATGCATTTCATCACTTATACATTAAAATTGCAATTTTGCTATATCCATAAAACTTCTCGCAAAAAGTTTCATCCTATTTCGATTCTTAAAATTTTCTTTTAGATGTCCATTTATTGAGATTTTAATTTGCATAACCAATTTATCGCCGTCATACCAAGTATAACTTTCCCTGCTTCATATTTTACATAAATAATTACATATAGTTTGAAGAAAGCAGCAAAAATATGATTTTCGGTTCTAAAAGAAATCAATAAAAATAATAGACTCTTATATAGAAAATGAAGTAAATTTTATTATAGAATTTATTCTATATTCGATAATTAAACAATTTGAATTGGATTTTAACTTAAAGTGTAAATTATCTAAGTACTCTTAGCCTATACCAAACCCTCATAAATATAATAAATGTTTATTTTGAAATTTTTATTTTTATGAAATTTATATTGATATAAATTCAATTAATAAGAATTAATTGTTATAGTATAATAATTTTAGATAATATTTTATATATAATACTCACATACCTACCTAAATATATCTTTGAAAAAAATAATACTAAATTTGAAATTTATGAAAAAGATGAATAAATCTTCATTATATTTTCTTAATCTTTAAAGGTGTGAGAATAGATATTATTATTCTAAAATTTGTATCAAATTGATTGCTTGTTGTGTTCTAATAAACAACTAGAGAGAAATAATAATATCACTGACTATTTATGAAGATTTGAATATTTTTTTGACTTCGACAGATCTAGAAATTATAATATTAATCATTAATATAAATCTATATTATGTTTTATCAATAAATTATGAAGTTTTAGAAGAATGAATTAATAGAGAGATAAATTACGATTATAAATATCCATGAAATAATTTTAATAGGGATACAATCATTAAAGCTTAATTTATGCTGTTTTACTAAAAATTATTTATTTACATTAATTTTGAACCTTACAAAGAAATTGTCTTTAACTTTCATAATAAGAAATTTGCATACTCGAAAAAGAACTAAAAAATTTTGATGAAAGAATTCAAAAAATATATA